TTACAACACCCAGCTGCCTGTTCCCTTAGGTTACAACACCCAGCTCCCCATTCTCTTAGCTGCTGCCAGGGCTGTTATACAACCAACAGTATCTCTGTAGTATCCTGGTAGTATCCCAACAGGATGTGCTACCTTCAGAAGAAATATTCCGATATTGTGGCACTACTCTAGTGGTAATTTCATAGTTGCAACAAAGTGTTCATAGTGGTCCAAGCAGCTCAGTGCTGCCCTGACAGTAGGTAAGAAATGTCACACCACTGTCCATTTCCCTGGAGTGGGAGTATCCTAGCTGTATCCTCACACCATATTGTCAGATTATGCCCTTTTCTGACCCAGAGATGGGTAACTGAGAGGTGTTTTAAAAACTTTTATTCTATTTTCAGTCTCATGTGAAGGGCGAGACAATACAGATGTTATAATTCACACCATCACAATCAGAAACCAACTAATTACAATAATTTCCTAATCACAATACACTATAAGCTTTTCTTGGCCTATCAGCTTTAGCCACCTCTCAGTTATTACCCCATCTCTGAGGCAGAAAAGGTTTTAATCTCACATTATATCACTGCTAAGCAAGTGGCCTGAAAGCATCAGCAATGTGCTGCCAGTACCCCAAAAATGTGAGTGTTGCCCTGATGGCATCCCAGAATTATCTTACCATGACCTTTGCTAGTGCCCTTGTGTAGCATCTTGGAAGCATCCTACAGATAAGTGCACTTTACTCCTGAGAGTATCCTACTCCAAACTGACCCCTGTCCTGAGAGTATCCTACTGCAAACTGACCTCTGTCCTGAGAGCATCCTACTCCAAACTGACCCCTGTCCTGAGAATATCCCACTGCAAACTGTCCTGGAGTGTCCTACTGCAAACTGACCCCTGTCCTGGAATATCCTGCTGCAAACTGACCCCTGTCCTGGAGTGTCCCACTGCAAACTGACCCCTGTCCTGCGAGTATCCCACTGCAAACTGACCCATCCTGAGAATATCCTACTGCAAACTGTCCTGGAGCATCCTACTGCAAACTGACCCATCCTGAGAATATCCTACTGCAAACTGTCCTGGAGCATCCTACTGCAAACTGACCCATCCTGAGAGTATCCCACTGCAAACTGACCCCTGTCCTGGAGCATCCTACTCCAAACTGACCCCTGGCCTGGAATATCCTACTCCAAACTGAACCCTGTCCTGAGAGTATCCTACTGCAAACTGACCCCTGTCCTGAGAGCATCCCACTGACCCCTGTCCTGGAATATCCCACTGCAAACTGACCCCTGTCCTGAGAGTATCCCACTGCAAACTGACCCCTGTCCTGGAGCATCCCACTCCAAACTGACCCCTGTCCTGAGAGTGTCCTACTGCAAACTGACCCCTGTCCTGGAGCATCCCACTCCAAACTGACCCCTGTCCTGAGAGTGTCCTACTGCAAACTGACCCCTGTCCTGGAGCACCTCGGGAGCTCTGTGATAATATCCTGGTACTGTTGTATCCTAGCAATGACCCTGTAGTATCTTAGTAGTGCCTCATTAGTAATACTCATTAGCATTAGCAATGCATTTACAATTAGCCAAGGGATATTTTGGAGTGTTATCCTGATAACATCTTAGCAACATCCTGGTAGTATCTTTGTGCTACACTGAGAGTATCCTAGTAGCAGCTCAGCATTGAGTAGCTCAGCATTGTCGTGATGTTGTACTAGCACAGGCAGAAATATCCTGATTCTGTCAGGAGCATCCCAAGAGCACCCTGGTGCCCTGATAGGATCACAGTAGTAGATAAGGAGTGTGCTGATAGGATCCCAGTAGTAGTGTAATGGGATCCAGCTGTTATCCTCAGTGTGTAGGTGCTGCTGTGGTGTTACCCAGGTATTTTACTGCCCTGTAACCACACTGAAAGTAACCTGAACGTATCTTGGGAGGAACCTTGTGTGAGCTGCTCCAGTGGTCCCTTCATATGAGTACCTCAGTATCTTAGTAGCAGCCTGATAGTACCTTAGTGGAATTTTACAGCACCCCAGTGGCATCCACAGAGTATCCTGAGAGTAGCTTAGTGCCACTCTGCAAGTTCCTCACTGCTGTCTGCAGAGTAGCCTGTCCACATCCTAGTAAACTCATGGTATCTCAGCAGCACCTGAGAGCATCTCAGCTGAGTCCTGACAGCATTTCACTACTCCCTCAGGAGATTACTGAGAATATCCTAGCAGCATCCTAGCAGCAGCCCCAGAGAAAGCAATGAGTAACTCAGTAGTAAGCCAGGAGCAGCCCAGCACAGGTGTCAGCACCCCAGCTCACTGCCCAGCCTGGCCATGTTCCCTGGGAAAGGCAGCACAAACATCACAGCTCTGGGGAAAACCTGCCCTGAAAGGGTTTCCAGTCACACACCCCATGCACGTGTGCCCCACTGGTGCCCCGAGCCCTGCAGCACACACCCTGTGCATGCACACCCTGCACGTGTGCGCTGCAGGGGAGCCCAGCCCTGCACACACCTGCAGCACACACAGACACACAGACACACAGATACACATATATGACAGGGCCTGGTGCTCCCTGTGAACACGCATGCCATGCACAGAGACATGCAAAGCACACACACAGAGCAGTGCATGTGTGCACAGAGTGTCTGCAGACAGCTGCATGTGTGCTGCAGTGGTGCACCTGAGCTGGGCTGCACACACATCCACCCCCACGTGCCCCAGTGCATGCACACCCTGTCCCATGAAAGCCTTTGCACTCACACATCCCCACATGTGCAAGCATGCACACCTCTGCAAGCACACCCCCCCAACAGTGCAACGCTGTGCACACACACACAGAGTGCACCCCAGTGCATGCCTGTATCCCCTTGCACACATTGTGCACTGCTGTGCACTTGTGCATTCCCACACATGCACCACGGCCCTCACAGCAGCAGCTCCAGGCCCCACACACACCTACACACACGCACACACATCTGCACAGACACAGCCCTGCACGCACATCTGGACATGCTCACATCTGCACACACACACACATGTGTGCACACACATCTGCGCACACACGCACATCCTTTGCACACACATCTGCATGCACACATCCCTTGCACACACGCATATCCCTTGCACATACGCACAGCCCTGCACACATGCATCTGCACACACACACATCCCTTGCATGCACACACACACATCTGGACCCGCAGACGCACATCCCTTGTACACACATCTGGACATGCGCGTGCACACCCCTCGCACACACGCTCAGCCCTCACACATATGCACATCGCTCGCACACACGCACACCCCTTGCACACACGCTCAGCCCTCACACGCACGCACATCCCTCGCACACACGCTCAGCCCTCGCACACACGCTCAGCCCTCACACACATGCACATCGCTCGCACACATATCTGCACACGCACATCGCTCGCACGCACGCACATCCCTCGCACACACGCACATCCCTCGCACACATATCTGCACACGCACATCGCTCGCACACACGCACATCCCTCGCACACATATCTGCACACGCACACCCCTCGCACACTCGCTGCGCGCA